ACCTTCCTCTAATGGTTCCAAACGGTCTTCGGTTATCTCACGGGTATGATTTGTGAGCCTCCAAAGACCGACCCGACATGTGGAGCTTGGGAAGTAGAGAATTCGATGGTCATGTCATGGCTGATCAACGCCATGGAATTATCATTTGGTCGTTCGTACATGCTTCTCACTTCAGCTAGTGCTCTCTAGACGACTGTTTGTGATACCTACTCTGATGTAGAAAATTTCAGCCAATTTTATGAGGTATCTAAAAAGATTCGGAAAACAAAACAGGGGTCAAAGACCGTGACTTAGCACTATAATAATCTTGTTGCATTATGGATGAAATACGACTTGTACTATGACTACACTAGGGAATCTCTGACCGATTTATCCCTCTTCCAGAATATCGTAGAGAAGGATCTGACTAAGTTCTAGGTCGTATTCTTTGTCGGGATCCTCTTTCTTTAGCTGATGTTGTTTTCGTCGGGAATAAAGCAGAAGACTTTTCATTCTTGATACTTCTACTTCTTCAGTTGAGTCGTTCGTCTTGATCTCATATAGTGCTCAGCCCTCGTCCATGCCATCTCAGAACGATCACCATACTTGTGATTTCTGTCACAAACTTAACCACACTCGGGACAAGTGTTGGAAACTTCATGGTAATCCAGTATACAAACCTTTGGCTAAATTCTCTGCTACAAAGGGACTCACAGTGACAACCGAACAAGACATGACTCAACCAACTCCTACTCAGAGCATCCGAGATTTCTCTGAATCTCTAAAGAACCAGATTGAGCAATTGATCTAGCGTCTTGGATCCAATCAAGTTTCTGTGTGCTCACTAACCTCCCATGTTTGACAAGGAACTCTTCTGATGACTCTCACAGTTTATTCTTCCTTCTAGTCCATGAATTATTGATTCAGATGCAATGAATCGCATGATTGGCTACTTATAAGCTTTCTCGACTTACTACCCATCAACAACAACAACAACAAAGCCTTAATCCCACTACGTGGGGTCGGCCACATGAATCCTTTTTTTTATCCATTGCGTCCTATTTAGTGTCATATTTTCATTTAGTTCTAATAAATTAAGATCATTTTTAATACAATAAGCCCAAGTCTTCCTAGGTCTACCTCTGCCTACTCGACTTACTACCCATGCTCTGGAAAAAATATCGTCAAAATTACAGATGGATTCTGTAGCTCCATTGTTGGTAAAGAGTCGATTGTACTAACTACTGATCTAACTCTGGAGTCTATTTTACATGTTCCCTGATTGCAATATAACTTATTATTAGTAAACAAGACAACAAGTGATATAGATTGCGTTGCTAATTTCTCTTTTGATGGTTTTGTTTTTCATGATCGTTATTCGGGGAGGATGATTGTAACTGCTAAGATGGTAACCAAACTCTACTACTTCCAAGAGGACAACATGGAGAGTGAAGACATGACAGTCAAAAGTTGTGGCCTATATTGGGTCATTGATTGTCTTATTATGTTATTACATTGTTGTTTAAGTCATCCTAGTTTTCAATATTTGAAAAATTTGTGACATATGATATTTTCTAATAATTTTTTTTTATTTTCAATTGTGAGACATGTCAATTAGCAAAACATCACCGGTCTATTACCCACCTCACACTTATACACTTTACACTTCGTTCTCACTCATTCACAGTGGCATATGGGGGGCTTCTCGTACTCCCAGTCATACCAATAAATGATGTTTTTTTACCTTAATTGATGACCAAACTCGGATGACGTGGGTCTACATTTTAAAGGATAAATCAGAAGTTGATGTGCCTTCCGAAACATCTACACATTTGTCTTAACTCAATTCAAAACTTTTATTTGGTCCTTCGGATCTACAATGTCCTTGAGTTTTTCAATTCTATTTTTAGTGAATTTTGGTAAGTAAATGCATCATCGAAAATATTTCTTGCACGGACGCTCCTTAACAAAATGTGGTAGTCGAGAGAAAAAATCGTCACCTCCTTGACATTGCTCGCTCAATTACGTTTCAATCCAATATCCGAAAACACTTTTGGAATAATGTCATTTTAACTACCACTTATCTCATAAATAGAATCCTTTCCAAATTCACAAGTTCTGAAAAGCCATAGCCGTCCTAATGCCATGCTTTACTGCCAATCGGGTCATCTCCACTTTTGATAAAAAAATATGTGGATGCACTGCCTTTATTCAGAACTTTGCTCCTACTCGGAGTAAACTTCCCCCAAATCCATAAAATGTATCCTCATTGGTTACTCGACAACTCAAGTGGGGTATTGATGCCTTGATCCGACCACAAAAAAAAGTTTATGTGAGTGTTGATGTCTCCTTCTTTGAAAATGTTATATATTTCTCTAGCTCAACTTTTAGTGAGGGGGAGCTTAATTTTCCCAACAATGTCCCTTATCGTACTCCTATGGATGGTCCCCCATTGTTCCCACCACTAAGGAGTCCCTTATCCTGTTGAGTGCACCACTCTTCCTTCCACTGTCTTTGTCTACACTCGGCGCACCCGTCTCAATGCTCCAACTCAGGATCCCGCTACCTCCTTCCAGGATCTCGACTCCCCTTCGGTTGACATCCTCAATACAAACCCTCCTTCAAATGAGGAGGTGAGCTCCCCTAGTAAGGTACGCAATCAGACGTGCTCCCTCTATTCTATGACAAGATATGCGTCTTTCGATAGTTTATCGCTAACCTACAAAACTTTTGCTATTGCGCTGACAAACCATCATATTACTGCTACTATCGAGGTTGCTTTTGCTGATCTAGCCTGGAAAACATTGTAATGGAGGAGATGAATGCTCTTCAGCGGAATCATATGTGGGACGTCGTGGACCTTCCACGGGGTAAGAAAGCTGTAGGGTGCCGATCAATTTTTAGCACCAAGTTCAACTCTGACGAGTCCTTTGAACACACCAAGGCAAGATTGGTTGCCAAAGAATACTCACAGACCTATGGAGTTGACTATGAAGAGACATTTACTTCAGCAACTAAGTTAAACACTATTTGGGTCATGTTATCACTTGCACTGAATATGAATTGAGATTTATTCCAAGTGGATGTGAAGAATGCATTCTTGAATGGTGAGCTGACAGAAGAGGTGTAAATGTCTCTTACTCCGAGTTTTGATTTTACTGCCTCCAAAGGTCAAGTATGCAGGCTACGAAAGTCCCTTTATAGGCTAAAACAGTCCCCTAGGGCCTGGTTTGACAAGTTCACAAAGGTGGTCGTGGACCATGGTTTTACTCAGGCTAAATCGGATCACAACCTCTACTTCCAGCTTTCCTCCAATGGCCATATAACTATTCTTATTGTCTATGTTGACGATATTGTTCTTACAGGTAATGACTTGCTAGCATTGGAGTCCGTAAAAGACATTCTTGCTTCGTACTTTGAGATGAAGGATTTGGAATATCTCTGGTACGTCTTACACATGGAAGTGGCTTGGTCTTCACGGGGAATTTACCACTCTCAGCGCAAATATGTGATTAACCTTTTGACATAGAACAACCTTCTTCTGTGCAAACCTGTTGGTGTTTCTATAAATCTTAATAAAAAATTATCTGACATCTCCAATGCTATACATGTCAACAAAACTCATTACCAGCGCATTGTGGGAAAACTCATATACCTAGCTCATACTTACCCTGACATATATCATGTAGTTGGAATAGTGAGTCAATTCATGCATAACCCTTACGAGAACTACCTCCAAGCTTAGGTTTGTTCTTTTTCCGCCACACCTTTCGATCGATTGCTGTGTATACAGATGCTGATTGGGCCGGATCAGTTCATGTTCAACGCTCCCCTCGGGGTTTTGCTCATTTGTATGTGACAATCTTGTCAAGTGGAAAAGCAATAAAACAATATGTCGCTGTCCGATGCAGTGATTAAGTTGAATTTCGATTCATGTCCTTAGAAATTTGTGAAGCTCTTTGGTTATGTATCATGCTCCGCGAACTCCGTATGCCAACTTCTGTCCCACTGCAGCTATATGATAAGGCCGCAATCAGTATTGCTCACAACCTAGTCCAACGTGATCATACCAAACATGTGGAGATCGACTCACACTTCATTAAGGAAAGGATTGAGTCCGGGGAGATTTGCGTTCCGTACGTGCCTCCAATGGTTAACTAACGAATATCCTCAGCAAGAATCAGCCTCGCTCTTTGTTCGATGATTTTAAGTCTAAATTGAACATGACTGACATTCATAGTTCAACTTGAGGGGGAGTATTAGATTATAACGACTATTCCTATGCCGTTAGTACTTAATATTTGTTTTTATTCAAAATCTCGACCGATTATGACATGGATATTCTTATTCCTCATGATAAGTTGTTCCTGGGGCATTCTGAAGAAGCTAGTTCCTCCATAAGTATAATAAGTAAGCAACTCACTTTTTTGGTTTTGTGATTATAGGCTGTGTTAGTGTATTGCTCGAGTTAACGCCATAATGGCTATATCTATCTGTAGAATTATTTGTTGGTTTAATGGGAAAAATGTAGATACTAAACCTTAAGACTTTTACACCATCAATACAAAGTTCCTTCCGTGATTTTCTAGTAAATTTTGCAAATTGAAATGAAAGGTTTGGACAAGGCTGATCTTATGATGATGAAATTTTCAATATACGTTTCTTTTTAATTTAGGGACATACAATTCTTTTGTATTTATATATCTCACACCTAAACATTCATATTTATGCACATAGCACTCAAATCTTTAATATCACATCAAAAATAGCACCATAATCACTTTTTAAAAGTGATATACACATTTCCATGCGTAGGTTTAAAACACCAATATGCTATAAATATGAAATTTTAAGTGTGAGATGTGTAAATACAAAAAATTGCATGCTACGCATGTAAATTTCCCTTTAATTTATCATGTGATGCCATTCACAAGATTTTGCCAGCTTTTAGTTACTTTAGCCTATGTACATCTTCTCTGTATGTATTTTTCTAAAATGTGAATTCTTTGTGCAACTGTCAGGAATTGCAACTATGTTGTTCTTGTGTCTTCCGGAAGCTTCAATCCTCCAACATATATGCACATGCGCATGTTTGGTGAATTTTTTATTTGTGTTCTTCAATATTTCATTGTTCTTGAAAGTGGGACATCTAACAGTTGTGTTATGCTTTCTGATCAAAGATCCATCTATGTTTTGTATTTATCTTTTGGAATATTTACATACATGCCACTCAATTCCTATGTATTTACATATCTGACACCTAAACTTCAATTTTTAATTATAGGCCACAAAACGTATGCAAGAAAAGGTGTATTATTTTTTATTTCATATGAAAGATTTGGGTGGTATAAATGTAAAAAGTTTACTTTAGGTGTTAGGTATGTAAATACATAGGAATTGGGCGCTATGTTGTAAGTACCCCTTATATTTTTCTTTTGTTAACTTTGAAAACTCAAAATGTTGGATGTATGTTGGGATATTGAACACTAGACTCACCATTTGAGGAGCATGTATATAACGATATGAATCTTAGTTCTCTTTGCTTTAAACTGCCCCTTCTAAAATAATTTGAATTTATATCTGAACTCTCATGTAAATTTAAAGAAATTACCTTTAAAGACTGTAAATATTATTTATTAGTCATGTGAATCTCTTGTTGAAACGTACTTTTCGAACTACTAAGAAAAATCATTTTCAAAATGATTATTCTCCTTGTGAATGTTTAGGTGATTCTCTGTTATTATATGGACCATTATTCCAAGCAACCTTTTAGAATTGAACCTTGGCATGTTTCTTCAAGTGCTAATTCTTTCAGATATCTTTTTGAAAACTTCCGTGTGAAATCCTGTGCTTGATCACTTCGAAAAGCTTATAATGTGCTAAGCTTGGTATAATTGCATTGAGGTTTGAAACGATACTATGGGTTCATTTAATTTGGAAATACTCGTCAGCATGAATATTATCTGTTACACTGAATCTCGAATGTCCACTTAGAATAGAATCTATGCATGCTTTTTCAAGCTCGATAGGATACTTTTAGTGATGAAACCCATCTGTTCTTCACCCCATGTTTCATAACCACAACTATAACACACCTATATGTTCTCCCTTCAAGTTTTCTACTTGCCCAATGATTGATGACAAGCGACGACTTGCATCTCAGTCCTGAAGCACCATAATGAGTATATCATGATAGACCTTAAGAAATGGGAGGGGTTTGATTGCAAAAGAGAACTTTTTTTCTTCTCCTTGATTCATATTATTAAAATGCTGGTGATTTATAAGTAGTCGATACAGGCAAAATTCTTTGAATTACTTGCAACACGCTCTTCTTAGCTATGTTATGCTTTTATTATTTTTCAAGCATTTGCATCCCCATTCTCAATAATAATCTTGTCCGGAGAACACTAATTTATTCTCCTTCTCAATCGTGTGACAAGGAAAGCCGAGTTTGAATCTCAACCAAGGGTGCGTTTAACACTTTGCTTTAAAATAAACATTTGCGCCTCATCTGGATGCTTGAAGTTTGAAAACATATCTTAAAAGATTTTGAAATTTGTTTCTTTTTTATTTTGCTTGATGCAATCAGAAATCTTGAATTAAAGCTACAAACCCTTTCAAAATTCGCAAAATATAATGACTTTGTTTTTACAAAAAGAAATAAATATTTTTAAAAATATCTTCTCTATTTACACGAAATCAATTAAGCCCTTTGTGGAGTTTATAAACATAATATTTAAACATGCTACATTATTCACCAATCATTCAAAAATTCAATCAAACTTTCTGTTAATGCTCAAATGCTCTTAACTGTAGAAGAAAATTGGAATTTTGTTATCAATGCCCTTGAGTGTTGAGATTTTAATATATCAAGTAGTAATTAATGATTATCAAATGAGAAATTACTTGTTCGAAGGCGAAGATCAGCCAACCACTTTACTCAATAGTTTAAATAAATTCACCTTTTTGGGAAACCTATTTTTTTTTTTCCATTTTCTTAAAAAATGAAAGGTGGCCTAAATAATTATTTAGCCATGAGATGAGGATAAAGTGGGGTCAGATTGCATGTAAACACTGTTCGTGGCATGATAAGTTCAATGTGATGGGATTTGGCTGTTTAAGTTATTTGAGTTTGAGTTGGGAGTGTTTCTGTTTGGTTCCGTTGAGGTGTTGATCAAGGTTGGTTGGTGAGGAAGTTGTGGTTTTAGGAGGTTGTTTGGTGAGTTGTCAGAGTTTTGTCTTGAGATTGTCTTGTGCATAAGGGGCTGTTTGGTTTGTTGAAAAAAGGAATGCAACAGAAAAGAAAAGCAGTGTAATTGAAATATTCTGTATTTGAGATACTTTGGAGTTATTTGGCTTGATGTAAAATTAATGTAGTAGTTTACAATTTCGCTCTTGGTTTGAACAAAAATGAAGTTTATATAAAAAAAGTTCTGCAACGACAACATTCCATTTTGTATCCTACTAAATGCCAAAATTCTAAAAATCCTTGCATTCTGTTTACTTTATACTACAAGTTCATCCAATCAAATAACTCCTAAACCGTCAAAGACTTAGGTTAGTGAATGGCTTAGAATTTGAATTTGAAAGGAATTTGTTGGTGAAGGCGTTTGAAAGGGATGAGGACTAGATAGACCATAGGGATTTTAGTGTGATTTTTGTGATGGCATGAACATGGAAAGTGCTTGTGTTTTTTTTTTAAAGGGGAAAGTGCTTGTTAAAGCTGGGGTTGAGTCCTAAATGTCAGAGATGTGATCAACAAATATACTAATACGTCTCTTTTGCCTCAGCTTATGCTGCCACAATTCTAGTCGCAACCTCATATTTGAGGCCGTCATACTCACCATTAGACCTTTTGTAAACAACATTATGGCTAGTAAAATCCGATTATATAGAATGGCCACAGATACATATTACGGAATTATTGAGTTACAAAGATCTAGAAAATGAAACTTCTTTTCTACCATCTTGCTACTAGTCTAGTCAAGCTTGAAGCTAAAAAGTTTTTACAACTAGATATCGCTTGCTTGAGATCATCCATTATTTGGCTGCAATTTGAATTCGTACATGTAAATAGACACTACATCTAACCACACAATCTGAACTATATTTGCAATCAATTTTCAGTTAATTATGACTCAAAGTAAACACTCAATTAACATGATTTTTAAACAATTCAACATTCAACCTTATATACAATCAACATTTATTTAACTCAGTCTTTATATATAGATAAATGTGGACATATGAGAAGAACCAGTCCTTTTCATATTTACCTCTCTAACGTGGGCCGACTACTACCTCCAATTCTTAGAGGATTTGATTCTGATATCTTAGGAAACCTTTAATGGGTTTATTTCCTTCCTATTTTAAATTTTTGTATTTTTTATTCAAAATTATGTCCTTTTCTAATTTATATGAGATATGTCAGATATGTTTGTAAATATAAATAAGGAGAGATTATGTCAGATATGTTTGTAAATAAGGAGAGATTAGTTTCCCTATATATATGTGCCCTATTTGTGAATAATAAATGAAGTATTTTTACTCCACAAGTAAATTTTACATGGTATCGGAGCCTTAGAACCCTACCCTAGTTGGATCTCCTTCCAGAGCCGCCGAAATTCCTTCCCAGCCTTCGAAAGCCGTTGGAATTCCTTACCTCTTCCAACGCCGGACCCCAGTTCTGCCAGAACCAGAATTTCTCCTTGATGCCAGAGCCGAAACCCCCCTTCCAGCGCTGGATCCCTCCTACAGACCCGCAGCTCTTCTGCCGTAGAAATTTCCTCCATCTCTTCTGCTGCAGGCCCACATCTCTTCCACCAAAATCTGCACTTCCTCCAATACCCGAAATCTCTTGTTCCATGCAGAAGAATTAAGTTGTAGGAATTTCCTCCAGCAGTGGAAATCTGGTTTTCCATGTAACAGAACTCTTCCTGTTGTACACCATAAACAGAGCAGAATTCTTCCCAAACACCGAAACTCTTCCTGCAAACATTCCTCGGCTGATTTTCTTCCGACAGGCTCTTCTCTAGAAGTCTTCTTCTTTTTAATAACGAAATTCTCCCTGCAGGAACGGCTCTGTTCAAATTCTGCCGCCTTGATCTTCTTAGCAACAACAACAACGGAAGTAAGCGGAAGCATCCCTAAATATTCTTAGGGATGATGACAAAATATAGGATTAAAACATCGTTCTACTCTGGAGGTGAATTCCGAGTTAGAGACTATGGATTTTTTCAGACGACTTATGAAATCTCTAACTTGATGACAAATCATAAACTAAATGACCATAACTATCTTTTATGGTCCCAATCCGTATTTATATATATTTTTGGTAAATGAAAATAGGAACATCACATGAGAGAGAGCACTGTTTCAGAGATCACTGACCCCAACTACCGCAAATGGAAAAATCAAGACCAGGTGGTTATGTTTTGATTAGTTAACTCAATGACTACTCAAGTGGTAGAGAATTTTCTGCTATACAAAACTGTTAAAGAAATTTGAGAGGCTGCAAGAAAAACATATTCCAGCACCGAGACCACTATAGAGTTGTTTGAGATTGAAAACAAGTTTCATGAATTCATACGAGGAGAGCTTAGCGTCACCCAATACTTCAACACTCTGTCAAAGTATTGGCTCCAATTCGATATGTTTGAGGCATTTGTGGAAATGTACTTAAGATGCTGTGACATTAAATCTATCATCGAGAAGAAGAGGACCATCAAATTTCTAGTCGGGCTAACTAAGGAATTAGATGAGGTGAGAGGGAGGATCATGGGAATCAAGCCTCTTCCATCTCCCTATGAAGCCTTTTGTTGAAATCAAGAGAGAAGAGAGCAGGAAGAAGCTGATGTTGATTGGAAATGAGAGTTTGCCAAACACTGAAAGTTCAGCTCTGTACACTTATAATCATTCCCATGACTCAAAGGTTAAGAAGAACAGTCCCACTAGTGATTATTGTAACGAGATTGGGTAGTAAAGACCAATGTTGGAAATTTCATGGAAAACTTGCTGACTGGAAATTTGCGCAGGGAAGAAAGGATCAAGCGAAGTAGGCAAATTCTACTACTATATCTGAAGGATCGAAGGAAC